TATAGATTTAGTTTACGATTTCATTAATCCATAGGTCATACATGTTTCCTAACAAAATCACCAAATCCAATTTTGTGAATTTGAGTAGTTGGTTGCTTTTGGATTAGGTTCTAAAGTTAGATTGTCTTTTCTTGGTATCCATTTAACATTCGTGTTTTGCATGTAAATAGTTCTTTGTTTAAACTGCTTTTTGTGGATGTAGAAATTGCTTGGAAATAACTATTGAGCGGATTCTTTGAAAAATCAAGTGTCATATGTCTCTTGGCACAGCAGTAACTCTTTCTTCCTAAACATTACATTTTTAAGCAGGATGCTCATAACGGTCATGAAATTAAGTTTCATAGCAATGGAATCAGTCGTATCGTGTGACGATCCCAAAATGTTAATCGTAATTATAAGTGATTAATTATGTATTGAATTTTAATTATGACATGTGCCAAGTGATTAATTGTGAATTATCTAAATTGATTCATTGTAAATATCTGTTTAAATTGAGAAACTATCTGTTGTGAGCTCAGCTTTGAAACTGAAATTGATGACATAAATGGGTTCAGAAATCAAAATTGAGTACAAGGATATGTTAATTAGAATTTTTAGATTTATTCGAGAGGTTTAATTAAAAATCGATTCCGTTTGATTCGCTAATTTTAATAGGTTGGAATTAAATAATTGAATAGGAATTAGAGCTTAATACACATTAGTATAATTTAATTTAGTGTAATTGATATTTTATTGTGACGAGGATTAATTTAATTTAATTAGAAATAATTTATTAATTTTGGATGAATTAAGTTTAATATTAAATGGTAATTATATGAAACTTCTACTCATCCTTTTATCTCCATAATAAACAATGAATGAGAGAGAGAGAGTACTTGGTTTGGTGGAGTTATTACACAGCCCACACGTAGAGAGGGGGAAAAAAAGAGAGTTCTTGGGTTGAACTCAAAGAAGGAGAATTGAAGAAGAATTTAGGGAGAACTGGAAGATAGCTCATTAATCATCAAATTAAGGCGAGTTTTCATTCCAAATTCTTGAAATTAAGATAAATCTACTCCTCATCTTTTAAAATATAGGATGAATTGAGATGACTTCATGCATGAGACATAAGTTTTGGCTATAAGAATTAGAGTTTAACGTGAATATATCTCAAATTGAAGGAATGAGATAAATTTGCTTTTAAACTTGTCACGCATGGATGATTTCATGAAGATTTATTTATGTACTTTGTAATTCATGCATGGGTTTTCAAGATTGAAGAAAAATGTCATGTATTTTGAGGATTTAAATTCAATCAAGAAGAAATCTTGCATGTTTAGAGTTGTTCTTGAGTAATTAAGGAAGAAATTGTAGACTTTGAGCTTATCTCTTCACATGTATGACATTGATTCATGAAAATATGTTCATACAATTGTTTTTCTTGCATGGTTCTTGAAATTGGAAGAATAAACTCCATGAATTTCAAAGATTGGAACTCTAAGGTGCATGGATTATGTTTATGCCTTGAAATTCAAGGGTTTGATCTTTTTCTATGGAATTAAGCTTCAATTTAAAGTTATGAGTTTGTTGGAAGCTATAGATGGTAAATTCAACATGTTTATGGAAGGTTTTTGGGCCTTGATTTGCTTGAAATTGCAGTTGAATTTCGACATTTATATGTTTATGAGTTTCTGATTCAGTAATTTAAACATGATTGAATAATTATAATTTAATGTGTATGAGCCTAATTTAAGTTTAATTGTGTAACTAGTGAACTTAATAAGATGATTGGGTATCGTGCTATGCATATTTGTAATTGTAGGTCACGAGTCAAGGACTGCTTGACCAACTGTTCTGGAAGCCCACTGTGAGTAACGTTATTGTAAAGATATGCTCATATGAATTATGTTCCAAATGTGATTTGATAAGTTATGATTTTTGAAATGATATTTGTTTACGTGAACGAATGTCCTATGTTTGAAATCTATTATGGCATCCATAGATAGTCCCAAGTCATGGGGGGCGACATGTTAATGAGGGTTCATGACATATATGTGATTACGAGATTTCGTTAGCCAGTTCATTGTGGTGATATGTGTTTAATCGGTATCCGGAATCGATTATTCTAGTCAGAAGACGATATGTGATATGTACTGTGAGATGTATAATTATGTTATGTTCTGATATGAGACTGATATGAATGATTGTGTCATGATTTGTTTTACGTATATGATATATTTAGAATTTGTTCACGAACCTCTTTACTTTAATGTTATTCACTGGGTTTTAGCTCACTGTTTATATATATATATATATATATATATGTATAGGTGAGCGTTCTGGAAGACAAGTCTAGAAGGCGTCTGTAGCCGAGCCACCGTTTTAAAGCCTACCGTGTGGTTTTGCGTGCCTCAGAGTTGAGGCTAGGCCTAGAAGGCCGTTGTCAAGCTTTTGATTGTGAAATACACTTTTGTTGTGTGCATATGTTATGTATAAGATGTTAAGTTATAAGCTATGTACTGAATGTGGGTAAATTAACGTTTTTACATGTAAATATTTGTTCATATAGATGCATAGCTCATTTGATTATTGGTGTTTTTGAATATTGTTTCCGCTAGCCTCGACTATTTTTTTTTTTTTTTTGTACATGCATTATAGGAAGGCGTTTGGTAATCACAGATTACTGGCCGGTTACGATACTTAACCCATAGAGGCGGGTTTGGATCGCGACACCCAAGCCTCGAGTGAACCAGTTATATCGGTTGTGATATCGGTTGTGAATTAAGTCATGAATTGCCTATGAACCAATGAGTTTTACATATTAGCTAATACACATGTTATTTTTGTTCTCACCGGTGTACCGGGGTGTATTGATATCAAAAGCCAAAAAACAAATGGGCACATCGATATTTGGAAGAGGACCGCCATATATCACATGTTTTTTTTTTTTTTCCCACCATTTTATGTCACCAAATTGGATGACAAGATATTTTTAAAATTTTTCATTAATTCCTTAATAATTATCTCCAAACAAGAGAATCAATCATAAGTATCCACGTTAAGAAGTAATATAAAATGGTGACAAAAAATCAGCTGACATATAGCATTTCTCTATATAGAACCATGCCAACATCCAAATCTCCATTTGTAGAAAAATATTCATGTTAAACATTAGGTTGGCCATTACATTCTACCTCTCATCTGTTTTTCATTTTATGAAATCTTTATATGCAATTAAATTGATTATGTTAATTTGTTAAATATTGATGTTGGGCATTGCCATATGTGTCCTTGTTACAATATCTATAAGGGAACACATTGTTTCCATACACCATAACAAATCACCAAAATCTATTTCACTAATGTGTCTAAATACTTTTTAGTGTTCTACAGAAATGTAAACAGTGATATTTACGATTCTGTTTTCCTCAAAATGTTTCTGAAATATGAACTAATGCAAGGGATCACTACCTAAAACCATTTGTAATACCGAAACTACAAATCAGAGTAAGCAGAAGAACCAAGGCAGAAGAATTTTTGATTCTGGCCATCAACAGGTTATGGGACATGGTTTCAAACGACTTCGCGTGCCAGGTTGTCAAGAGATGTCCAGATGGCAGATTGAAAAGGAGAAGACTAAATGGAAGAATATTCAACAAGGGTGTAAAATGAAAGCCGTGCTGCTGAGGCAGTGGCAATGCTAACCAAGCTAGTGATTGCTTGGGGGAGTAGAGATAATATCAGTGTGGTGGTGGTGGAATTGAATAATTCTGGCATATGCAGTGTGATGAGAGTGACAATATGCATATCTCTATATTCATTCATTCGTTCACCCTTTTGTTAGGGCATTTCTCAGTTTTAGACACTAAAGATTCTTTGATCTTGTTTGGATTGAAGAGTTGTGTTTGATTTTGTGATTGAATTATATGTATATTCAATATATTATTTATAAGATATATGAAGTCAAGATTGAAAATTACAGAATTAACACAAGTAAATGATGTTAAGGCTAATTAATATTATAATATACCCATTGAAGATTGTGATATGCAAACAGTTGCAATTTGGATTGATAGCAATTGCATAAAATAAGATTTGAGGGTAAAAGTAACTTTATATAGAGGACAAACAAAACATCCAATAGCCATGCTTTATTAATATTGATAGAAAAATTAAATCTTTCAAACTATTTTTGTAATATACAATTATTGTTCCACTACTAAAAAAATCACTTTTTGCGACCGCTACAAGCTGTCGCAAATAATAAAAATACAGTCGCAAAAAACCTTTTGTGACAGCCCATGCGACGGCAAATGGGGGTCGCGAATGTGGGGGTGGCAAATACTTTTTGTGACGGCAAATCAACGGTCGCAAATTATTCACGACCGCCTAAACTATTTATGGTGACCGCTATGTTGCCGTCGCAAAAAACAAAGAAAAAAGAGGAAGTCTAAACTAGTTTTAATTAGATATATATCAGAAATGATCTAACACAAAACTTTGTCATCCTTGATTTGCGGGTAGCCTCTTCAGCTTCTCGGATTTTTCTTGTCTTCAAGAATTAATCTGCTCATAATTCCAGTTGATGCAATTAAAAGAACAGAAGTATCCAACAGCAACAATCTCATACATGCATATGTACGCTTAGGAACATATATACACAATAAGGCTTTATATACATTATTTATTTCCTATTTCTATACAGCAAGAGAGAAAATATACAGTTCACATAAGATGTTAAAAATAATATCAGAATATCCTTTATTTTTGCTGATATATGGTATAACCAACAATGTTGTGGGATAAGATTTCACACAGATTTTGTCCACAAAGATGAATAGATACTTCTGCAATTTGGAATCCTCCACTTCACCTTTAGACAGATAATTATTGGCATATGTGCTCTTCTCTTCCCAAACCTTAACATTGGACACCGCCTTTCCATTAGGCTTCTCAACCAAGCCAATCTCTTGGTTCGGTAATCTCTCCAAGGTTTCCACTTTAGCTAGATCAAAGAAAGATTATTCCTTCACCTTATTAGCTACCATAGAGTTATTAGCCGCTCTTGCAGTACCCTTGTCACGGTTGGCAACATCAGAATATGAATTAGATAGAAATGGAAGCTTCAGAGTATTAGCAACAAGTTCGTCACAAGCCAAAGTGTCAATGTTTGTTTCTTTCTTCAATGGAACACCAATGCCGTTTTGAGTGCCCTTATCAATGTGATTCTTCAATTCCACTGAAAAGGCATTTCTCTCAAATGACTTAAGTTTCTTGCCTCCTAAAACTTTGTCATTGCCCCTAGCAGAATCAGATCCATTTGAACTTTCTTGGTTACTCTTGATCACACGTCTAGGTTTAATGTCTCCTTTAAGCTTTTCCTTTTCAATCATGTAAATCAGATCATCCGGAAGAGGGTATAACAATAGATTGCCATGCACTGGAAATGATTTCATAATCTGCTCCAACATATAAGCCAAAACAAGTAAGATAATCTGATAATTTTCAAGTCAATTCAGGCAAAAAGAAACTGGAATACTATACTAAACTGATACAAGGACATGACTTACCTGAAGAATACTAGTTGGGGATTCTTCTGGGGCATCGAAAGGTTCGTGTGAAAACCCTTCACTGTTGGTGGGGCTTTCATTCAACGAGGAAGAGGGCGAGATATCAAGGCCAAGACCAGTGTAGATTTCAGCATTTTTTTGCGTCGACAAATTATCAAAACCCACTTTGATTCGAACCTTCAGTGTTTTTTGGTCAGAAGGCTGAGCATAGTTTTTCGCAAGTTCACATCTTGAACTGGATTCCTCAGCACAATGTGCTGATGACATGCCTATGTCTCTTTTTGATAAATCATTATCGGAAGACCACAACGAATGGAGCAATGCGGCATTTGTAGAAGACAGCCCATGTCTCGCTGACAGAGATGCACTAGATGGAACTACAGAGTTATGACGGCTACCCTGTATTACTAGACAACTCAAAGTGTTCAGGTAAACCAGAATTCCCATTTTAACCAAGACAGTTCTACTTCCTCCTTAACAACAAAGAACAGTTCACAAAAACAAAAGAAGGCCCAAATTCATTAATTTTCTACCTCCAGGTGCAAAATGTTTGGGGATTTGGGCGTGCTGTAGTTATGATTTTTTGGTGGAGATATTGGACGAGACCAAACAGGAGAGCGTTGATAGGTGGGTAGAAATGAACCATAACCACCAAATTTCGTCCCTGTTAAAATGAATAAATCCTCAACGCATCACTTCATAGCATAACTCCACATTTGTTAATTTTCGAGTATATAATAATTGCAATAAAGGAGAAGATCATGTCAGCAAGCATTCTTAGGTGAAGGGACCACAACCAAGCATGTAGAATAATTTAAAAGTCCTGTATATATTTTAAAGTTATGTGAAGATGTTATACATGTGCATTGGTTCAGCAACTTCCTGCAAAGAATTTCTAGGCACAGAAGCTCAACCATTTAAAAAATCCATAATACATATTTAGCATTGTTATTAGTAACAGATTATTCAACATTCATGGACATTGATATGACATAATCATGCTTTGGTGGTTGCCATATCAAATTAATTAAATGTTAACAGTTATGTATTCTATTTAAATTGATTTTAAAAAAAATTCATTGAGCGTATATATATATATTTGGACAAAATTCATTTTACTGACCAAATAGCACTTTACCTCCATATCTTTTAAAAATAGCCACATACCTCCCATATGGTTTTGAACTAAAATGCTACAGTTATATTTCCATCAAAACTAATAGAGAGTTTGTTTCACATGCATATTTTGAGAGTGGAGAAGGGAAAAAAAAAATTAGTCAAAGTTAAATTTCAATGTAAGAAAACGAAACGAACCTTGTTTTATCTTTTAATCTAAATTTCTTATTTAATAACACTTTAAATTAAATATACATATTATATATATATATATATATAAAATTAATTTAACTACCTTAATTTATTATTATAAAAATTAATCATCAAACTACTTTAATCTAGTTTTCAATTTTTAACTCAATTTTTTATTTAACAACATTTTAAAATAAACATAAACATACATATATTAATTGGAACTGGGTTGTGTCCTTCTTAGGCACAAGAGTCGCAATCAAGGACACAATATATTAATTGTGTCAGAGTATACTTAAGTATCCATTAAATTCAATAACAATTTTTTTTTTTTTTGGTAGGTAAATTCAATCACAAACCTTATCAGTATCACTGCAAGAAACCGAAGATGATGAAATTGCAGATGTATGTTGCATAGCCCTCTCCACCATCTTCAGGTGAAATTCCTGAGAAGGAACATGATGAAGGAATATTTTAGCCACACAAAGAGGCAAGAGATTTTATTTGCACAAGATATGGCCCAAACTTAGACTCAAAACAATGATATTTGTACATGCATAGATGCACAAGCAGTACACGAGTTTGAGCACGCACTTGAAAGTCTGGCAATCGAGGAGTGCTTCTTTTTGGGAGTAACGATGATGGAGCTTCAGAGAATACATTAACTTTTAATTTAGGCCAACATTAACATTATCAAAAGAGATAACAACAATATAAATTAGCTCCAAAGCAAAGCCACAAGCTATTATGACAAAATGAGCTTCAGGTTGTCAATGTCAATGGCTATTTCCTCCAAAACAGAAAAAAATAAAATTTATCATAACCAAATCCTTCAAAGGCTATCATAAATAATAATTTACCATTTGTATTGCTAATTAGTACTTGTTCATTCAAGCACTTAGTGCCAAACAATAACGTTAACAAAGTGATATATATATATATATATTGTAGGATACATCTCAGTTCTTACATTCAGCAGTTTCTTTGCCTTCTCGATTTCAAGATGATGAGGATGACTTGCAGCAGCAACAACAACAACAACAACAACAACAACAAATTAAAAAGCATTAAACAAATATAATTTCCAAAAACTACATCAAACAAAGTGAAATGATCAACGTAACATATATATAATCAGCAGACCTTGAACCTAAATGTTCAGATTATACAGAGCTTTGAATTAGAAATCGAAACTCGAGAGATTCATGTATCTAATTGAGATAATCAAATCATCAACCACAACAAGCAACGTAAATTATAGTTAACATTCGAATCAAATTGTTTACCTGAACTGAAGCTTGAGTCCCAGCTGACGCAATCGCAGTCACAGCAGCACTTATCGTATC